ATTATATATCTACAGTTTTACTGACATAGCAGTAAAACCACTTTTACATTCTGAATGTTTTCTCCAACAAATACTACTCGCTTTGACCATCACCCCCCCACACACAAAATGAAATAATGATGAAATAAATCAAATGTAAACCTGACACAGTGAAATGATTCATCTCTCAGCTCCTCAGATTTAAAATAAAGTGCTTCTTAACTTTGGTGAATGTTCGCGTTGGTTCTGTTGAACTTTCATATACAAACATTTTGAATCTGTTAAAGAGAAATTAAGCTACAAAAACATTTCTCAGGAATCAAGATGAATCACAAACACTGTAAATCTGAATTCTGTTCAAATTCTATTTTATTCTATATTCTATACTATTTCATCTTTTTCTGTGTTTGAGCTGAAATGATTTGTTGATAAAAAGCTGATCATAACCCTTTGGACTTTTGGATTTAAATTGTTTTCAAATTAAAACTTACAGTCGGATTCTCAGCAACAACGTTTTAATCAGCTGAGTGTTTTTTACAGTTCTGACCTGCAGGGGGAGCTGAGGAGGTCTTAATGGACGACTGAAATTCTGTCTGTCTCCGTCACTCACTGACTGTGGCGTTGAGGTCAAACCATCACGGACAGAGCAACGCAACAAGCATCAGGACAGCAACATGTTCGAGGGCAAAACTGGATTCATGACGGCAATCCCATAATGCCACAGTTCCCAGTGAGGTCATCGGTGAGGTCACCATGCGTCGTCCCTCAGGCCCTGGTGAAGCTGGGGACGACCAGAACCATGATGGCCGCCACAGCGACCGCCGCCACCGCCAGATTCCAGCCTTCAGTGTCCGTCTGTGGAGACAGAGCCAATCAAAGGAAGTTCAAAGTCAAACATGATTCAGAGTGAAACTGCAGATAACAATCAATCATCAAATCAATCACTGACTTTATTTTACCGTCACATGTGACCAGATGAAACCGGAGATGAGACGATTAACAAAATTCAAATAAAGGGACGATCAATTTTCTGTCTCTGAAAAAGTCGACAAACTAAGAACAAGGTTTCAGATGCTGATGTCACGGAGCAGGAAATAGATTTTATAAAAAAGATTGATTAATAAAGCTGAAGATGATGAATCATAAATATTTAAAAACGTCATTAAGGTTCAATGTGAAGTTTCCAACGTCTTCAGGACGTCGGAGCAAACTCAACAAAGTGTTGTTAGTTACAAGTTTCCACACACACGTCAACACTATTAATGAAGTGGTGTCGTATGTGTGAGAGTGTGACTGCAACTAAAACACTGT